ATAACCAGCATTACTTGAGCTCGACAAAGAAGATTCTTATCATCAATATAAATAATTGCATCCATCAGTGTCATATCCAAAGAACAAATACTCCGTGCCTCTTCACTTGGACATTCCAGTGCAGCTGTTACTGAAGTTCCACCACCGATCGGTATTATAACAACATCAAATTTCTTAGCACCATCAATAATCTGATAAATAACAATATAATAATATTTTAGGCACACCCAGATATGTATAAACAAGCATTGCGAGAAAATTTGACAATATTCATTAAACAAAAGAAGTCAAACGAAGACGTTTTTTTTAAATTTCAGTATTTTTTTTCATACTTTCCTGATCACTTACTGTCATAACTTCCTCTTCATTTTTAGGCCATACGATAATATCAGGAATGCGTCCAACAGTACCATTTCGTAAATTAGCGATATCATGTACTAAATATGGACGATTATAAGTTACGAAAGAAATCGAAAAACTAAAGAAATTTGGCACCAGTACTAGCAAAGTCTGAAAGATTTTACTTATATATTTGACGAAATGAGTGAAAAAAAAACCGAAATATATGCTTTTTTATTTTCTTTTTATACACATGTTTTTTGTAAAATATATTCTTCCAAAAATATAAAATATATTCTTTGAAAAAAATATAGGGATATAAAACAAGCAAAAACTGGAAATGTAAGAATAACCAATGTCACGAAGCAAAGTGTATCAAATGACAATAACAATCATTTATGATTTCATTACAAATTCAAACCAGTTAATAATTGAATTAGAAATGAAAATATGAATCAAAGAAACCAATATGAAAAAAAGAACCTGTATGTCCATGAGATCGTACTAATCGATAATTAGATTTGTTAGAGAAGGATATATTGTTTGATAGCAAAAAATTGATAAAATCCTGATTATTAAATGGAACTGGAATGATTAAATCTTCATAACGTATACTTGGAGTTTGGATATCAATGGCGACACCAAGTTTCTCCTCCATGTATTTTATGAGATAAGGCAATGTTTGACCCGATAAGTTATACCTGAAATATAATAGGATCAATATGAAAGTGAAGATGAAACTTTCCGTTCAATTTTCTCTTAAAATCGAATCAAATTATGAGCTAAATTCTCTTCAACAGTACATTATTATGTATGAAAATGTTCTTCTTTTTATCCTATCATGCAAGAATAAGATCAATTGATAAATGTAATATTTGTTAAATTTAACTGGGTAAATAATTTATATCAAAAAAAAAGGAATCAATACCTTTTATCTATGCTAGTACTATCTATGCAAATTAAAAACAGAATAACAATAAAATCCAACCTATTACCAGTGAGAACAGCATTAGCATAATTTCTAATTACAAATGATGAATCCGCATATCCCCATCCATTCCATTTCATTATCCGATCTCTGCAGTTTATCCATTTTTTATGAGTACAATGAGAATAAATATTATTGGCAATATATATTTTCGATACAAAATAACTACTTATGCACTGTTGAAAATGTCAATTAGTAAAATCGAAGTATGAAAAAAGAACTACGCACGAACAAAAATAAATGATATATCAGCAAAAAATCAACACATATAATTGTACGTTTACTAACGTTTAATAACGATTATAACTTTTTTTTGAATATTTGCAATGTTTAATCATGTAAAATATATCATTCGCACATCTTTTTCAGAGAAACAAAAGTCATTAAAAATAAAAAAAGAAAGAATGAAATGAAAATAAGCCAAAGAAATACAACAAAATACCTATAAGTATCCGGAACATTATTTTCCTGTACAGTATAATCTTCATTTCTTCCATTCATTTCGGATGCTTCCAATAAATTGTCGTGATTATCTAGAAATTTAACAAATCTGAAATAATAATTTATTTCGCTCGAATTTCTTGAAATCGATGTGGAATTTTTCGAAAAGCAAGCAAGTGAAGAAAAAAATAGAAGGGTCAACAAAAATATATATATATTAAGCATCCACTCAAATATTGCTTTTCTTTTTTACCATTTATTGCACTTTATTTCGCAAAATTTCTTTTTCTATAAGAAAGAAGAGAGGAAGAGAGAGAGAGAGAGAGAAAGAGAGAGAGGAAATAACTGTTTCTTAATTTTAATGAAATTTGCGGTTGTAAATATTATGATTTCAACCTTTCAGGTGATTATTTCCCAATCAAACTGGTAATTAAGAAATTAATTACGAAAAAAATTCCCCAGTTAACGATAATTATAATTTAAATAAAAATGCGATAAAGTAATGGTACTATTTAATTAAAATTAATTGATCAACCATGGAATTGAAAATGGAATGCAAAAATCAAAATGCAATTTCCTTGATCGTTTCAATTTCTTCTTTCTATTTTAAGAATTCCCGAATATACCATTTTCCAAATCTATCATTTACCCAATAACTTCCTTTCATTCAAAGATTAATTTTATCGATTCAAAATTTAAATTCTTACTCAACATTCATTTTACTCCAAATACCTTAATAAATATAAGATTGATTAAATAAATTACTTTACAAATACAATTTTCTTTCTTATTCTTCTTCCTAATATCATTCAAAAGGAAAAAAATAAATAATTACGTTTCATATAAAACATATTTTCTAGTTCACAGTTTTCTCTGTCTTTGTTTTTCCCTAATTGAACGGACATTTTTCTTTGTTTGCTAACTATAAAACATAATTATCAAAAAGTTGATTAATTTTGTAAAACACTTTTACATTTTCTAAAAAGCTTTCTGTATCTCAAAACACATATCTGTTAGAAAAATTGCAAACTGATGAACAAAAAAACAGAAAAAGAAGAGAAAAAAAACATTTATCATGATGACACAATCAACCAAACGCGAAATAATTTCCAGCTGACATAAAACAGTCGAGAATGAAAAGAAAAAGTGTTGACATTGAAATTGTTTTGTCCTCTTATCTATCAACTTTTTGCTTTCACTTCAAGCTAATTGAATGCACCCACTAGGGATGTTTCTTTAGTTCTTAAAAAGAATATGACCAATACTAAAAAAATCAATCAATATCATCTCAAACGTACAGTAGCGGTATGTTCGACATGATTGCTCACTGAAAACCAGAAATCATTGAAAAAGTCATGAGTCCAATCCACAGAAGTAATTCCCCAGAAACTATTCTTATGGACTGCGAACATAAAATTGCATAAAATATTGCCATTTCCGTGTACTGAACATTTGCATTTCTCAACCCACAAAAGTACTATACATACTGTACTTTTCGAAACTGCGTAATATTGTCAAGCAGATTATCCAACCTAAGTGCATAGTTACAAGAAACGTTACACGAAAACTGTCAACATTTATTCAAAAAAACTCAATTCAAAATTTCAAACAACACAAAGAAATGATAACGAAAAATTGAAAACACATCCGCCAATTATTCCTCTGGAATGACAATATCGCCGCTACGTATGGCATCAACTATATCATGCGGATGCTGTCCGTTTACTGTGCAACCAACCGACTGAGCTGTACCTGTAAAGAGTGACTCAAAAATTCGACTCCTTGAAAACTGGATCATTTGAAAAATTCGACTCCGTAAAAACTGGATCGCTTTTTATAGACCAATAACCCATTAAATGCCAAAATCATAATACACTGTCTCTGATAAACGCAAGTATCACCCTTACAAACTTTTTACACAAACTCTTACACTAAAAAGCATACCCAATATTTCCTTTACGGTGCCTTCTAATTTCTTTGCCATTGAACGTGGTCGCATTTGCCGTGCAATGTTGATAACTTGTTCCACGGTAAGATCACCATTATGCTTTACTGAAACTCCGTTATTCAATTACAAGACTAGCTGCACTTATCATGAATCATTTAATTAAGACATGAAAAATGTTATTTGCCAGGAAAAATAACTGAGAAAACAAACGTACAAATTACTCCTAATATTTTTTTCAAATTAGACAACCAAATTCAACTTAACTCATTTTTTTCCTTTTCATGCCTATCAGTTTAAAAAATTCAACCCACCTTTAAATCTAATAAACACCTACGCATCCACTAATAGAAGCTATTGATTTAGGTTCCCATTATTATTTACTTATTTAAAATTCGCCAAATTATAAACTGAATATAATGAAATGCATCTTCAAAAAATATTCAGAAACCAAAATTAGCTGCCCTCCCCTAGCTTCCCACCGATTTTCATATATAATCATTGTACGAATATATGCGCACTCATCAAAATATTTTACAATTTCGTCAGTTTGTGTTGGATAATGTTGCTTGGGGGCTTACCGAATTCGCTGTTGACCCGAAAAACGGTTACCAGTCTTTTCAATTGCAAAGCCTAAATAAAGACTGCAATAACCGAAAATGACTGGGGGATGGGGACCGTGCGTTGGTCACCCGACCCTCCGCCTATAGATAGGTAGAAAATGTACACCATGATAACAACGCGTTGATTTCTGTTTGTTTCTACTTTTCTCTTCCCCTATTTCCTTTTTCAATTGCATATTAACATGACGTGTTGTCGCATACCGTTTTTAACCTTTTTTCGGTCTCGTGCAGGTTCTTTCAACTCTTTGATAAGTAACGATGCTGCGCTCGGTACAACATCTATTTTGGCTACACGATTCTGGATCGTCAACTTGCATGTTACCTTTAAACCTTTCCAATCTTGCGTTGCTTTCGCTATATCATCACCAATTTTTTTCGGTGACTAAAAAATTTAAACATAGTAAGAACAAAAAATGAAATTTAAATTTAATACACGGATGAAATCCCCACCCTAAACACAAATTAAAATTTAATATGGAAACAAGAAGCGTCTCACAAACGAACAGGTGACAAACTTAAGCCGCAAAATTAGGACTGCTGATTTGGTGCTAAACAAGAAACCGCATCAAAATCCTTGTCAATATTACAAGTCATTCTATCTCTGTCGAAATAAACATCTATTAGAACAAAACAAATACCCCGCAAACAAACGCAATTTCTGGCACAATTACTTCCTGCACAATAAACAAGTAAAACTTTCTTACCAAGCCAAGTGGTCCAACTTTCGGTGCCAAGGCTGATGTAGCACCAACTTCGCCGCCAACACAACGCAGATAAACTGCAAATAAATTATAAGTTATTCACTTCCTACTTAAAGAATGAATGCTAAACAGATCAAGCCTATAAAGAAAAAAAGGATTTCCCCTCCCCCTTATATTGAAAAGTTGCAGTGTAACATAATATTTAGGTGGTCACACACAAACATATTAACCATATATTTTCTTAAATTCTCTCCAATATTTAGGTCACACACAAACTATATCCGTAATTCTCTTAAAAAATCACTTGAACTCGTTTAAAGCTGGACCAGATTTCAAATGAAATTGAATAAGAATTTCAGCAAGATTAAAACATTATAACAGCGGTTAATTTGACTAGCAATTTGCAATTTCAATTATACTACTTCATATAAAATGTTCAACTTGAACGAATTCAAATTTAAGTTTAAAGCGAACTTTTTCATAAACTCCACACTTACCAATTTTAATTTCACTTGGATCGAATTTAGGTGGCATCGTTCAGCAAACACTTCGGCAATTAAATCAAACTCAAAATTAACTTTTTTAACGGCCTAAAATCACACTATGTCATGAACCACAATGCAACTTGTACGTCCCAACGATAATTCTCAGTCTATTCCGTACCACAACTGGATGTGGGAACCTACACCATATTTCAGGAACGAGTGATAGTCTCCATTGGATTGTCGGTAGTAATCCTCTTCAGAAATCCCACAATTTATGTGAGGCACAACCCTGTAATTCAATTAAAGCAACAAATCATGATTCGTAGAATTTAAGTATTTGTGGATCAAGTTTGTTATAGTCAGCAATACTCCACCACTAAGAATTTTACTGGCGAATTTTTCGGAATCGAGAGTTCAGTGAGCAAAATAGCAGTAACTGTAAAAGTGAACTAGAATTGGGAAAATTTCCAGTTCACAACTACTGGATAGAAGAGTCGATAAGTAGTAGGAGTATCAACTTGATAAAAACTGAGATATGTTATGTTTTTACAGGTTCAAACATAGAAACATTGGAAGTTGTATGATTATATGAATTTATAATCATAGACCTATACCTCCCTCCTCCTCCTCCCCTACCTTTGTTATACAGACTGACAAACCCATAGTGCAGTTCAATTATTATACCTGCGACAAAACGATCAGCTGCAAGAACGGACTTTTTCATTTTTGACTACAACATTTTTCCGTCGCATCAATTAAGTGTCATTCTCTTAGCACTTAGCCATTCGACTGCCAATTATTGAAATATGTCATTGTTTGGGGATCGGCAATTAATAACCATTGGATCAAAGGAGAGAACACAACTTGAAATATACAAGATTTTTTTCTTTAAATCTCGCAAGTAAATAATTCGTTATTTACATTGTAAACAAACGTTGCAATTTGACAAGTTCCCAAAGTTTTCAAGCCAATAATATTTTAACAACTGAAATAAAGACATTATCATGCTGCTTCTGGTGTCGACGGTTGTTGTGGTTCAGGAGTTGATGACGATTCTGCCATCTGCACAAATGGCGCACCTAATGAAAGCGTATTTCCAAGACCATACAGGTGTCCCTCAACTGTTGGCGCAACCTAAAATAACACTTCTGCTATTCCTAATCAATCAATCACGAATAACTGATACGATAAATATCACGCCTAGTCGTAGTGGTATAGAGAGATCAATTCCACTATATCATCGGTCCATCATTATGTTGCTATTTTCTAGATGATGTTTCTAGAGCACTTTTACTTTTAGTTTGCAGTCAATCCTAGAATTCCCGATTAATATATAGCTTCGTCTTGTCCTATTCATTGGTTATGAGAGCTGCTTCCATCGCAAAATACATTTAATAAGAAAAAAAATCACCTGATCCCATGTATCTTCAAAAAAGCGTTCCTTGATTTTGAAGAATGTTTGCGCAGTGAGTAATGAATCAGAACCCGCTTGATGTTGCTGTCCTTTCCGAATTACTTTCAGTTGATCAGCAAGCTAAAAATTATACATCAGAATTAAAATAAGCAAAAATTATGAAATATGTTTTGAAAACGCCAAAATTAAAAAAAGTAAATTAGTAGAGGAAAAGCAGACTGTTCATCTTATTGATCAAGTAAATTTCATGTAGAACTGAATGTATTATAACCCGAGAAAAGGAGTGCAGTCACTCTTTCTCTATCCTCAATAAGTAATAACGGAACTGCAATTTTCGAAATACTTGTTTTGCCAGAAACAAGCATATAAAGTGAGTTGACTGTTGCTGTCTCGACCAACGTAATACACAAATGACACTTAATAGACAGGAAAAAAGTAAAAAAAAAATTAGTAATCATAGAAAAATAGACAAACCTCTTGCAAACCGCCTCGCAGCTTTGCATTCACTAAGCCCGGGTGTTTTAATAGCATTTTTAGATCGTAACTACATGGAAAAAGTTTACGATGATATTGAAAGAACTGCGATTCTTCTTTGGGTAGTTCGGAAAGCAAAATAGAACGCATGAGGTATCCAAAATCATAACCACTATGAAACGTTAACCAGGTGATATGCTCGTCAACAATCAAACCTGACGTCGTAAGCAGTTCACCAAAATCCGCCATCCGTATTCCTTCAACCTACAAATATATGCGCGTACATGTTTGTGTTCGACTACCTGAATTTGAAGTATTTTTGAATGACTTGAAAATTACTGCAATAAAAATCACACATATTACAAAACACGTGCCATAAACAGTTAGCTAAGTGGAATGAAATGATGGTTCAAATTGTACGATATTTATTATTAATATTTAAATATATAATTTATCGGACATATGGTTACGTCGGACATTTCAGCATCTATATGCTGAGACAGCCAAATCAAGATTTTTTCATCTATATTTAAAAAAATTAATCTCATTAACTTTGCTGCCACATTAAAAGCTTACCTGATGTCGACCAAAATCTATACCAGCATTACGTAACAAATCGACACTGTCTTGCGAATACATATCATCATTTAGGGAAAATTGAAAGTTAAATTGCCATACATCACCCGTTGGTGGTACGTTACCATCTTTATCCAACAAAGCGAATCCAACTTGGATAAGTTTTAACATATTTACATTGCAGGAAACCTGAAAAAAAGACGATTGAAATTTTAGTTATAAATATGTCATATAATTTTAGCACTGAAAATAATCAGGGAAAAAACTGATGATAATTACCTGCTGGTAATTGAAATCTTCTTTACTCTTGAATTGTCCTAAGGGCGTAGCAACTACACCTGGGAATTCCGTATCCATCGCAACAAATGGGTAATTTTTAACTGTATCTCGTATTCGTTTGAATTCCTGTAGGAATTATTTTATATATTATGCAGAGTGAAATTTAAGATCTTTTAGAAAAACAATCACAATTCCCTGAAATGATTGAATGAAAACGCAGAACTTCACCTCTTCCAGGTTGTTCGCCCATACATCGTGAATCTTCACTTCGAGATCATTCATTCATGCAACTTTCCAGTTTTTGAAAATCTTCCGCTCAGTAAAAATTAATTTTCTGCAATTACGTATCCAGTAATCGAAGAATATCTACCTTCCCCATTTTCCGAATGTCTTTTTTGGAGCATACAATCTTATATTTATGGATTTAATGTGAAACTACAAATTTATACTTGTTGATCATTTCCTACCATTAAAATATGTCAAACATCCATTCTATTGGCCACAAGTATAATAAGCCTAAGTAACAATACGGTGTAAATGGAACTTAATTAGGTATTGCACTACAATTCCCGCATAAAGCCAAAACATCATTATTAATAAAATTAACTATATGATCTAAGTTTGTTATTAAATATAGCAATGTTTCAATGATTATTTTTATTGAAGAAGCAATACCGTGAACTTTTGAAATACATGAAAATATTGCTAAGACGTTTTAAACCGTGAAATTAATTTCAATGCTAATTAATGAAGATTTTATACATAAAATAATAACTTAAACTTGATAAAGATTTCAAACCGAAAATTTGGAATATAATTTGGTAACAATAATGAAACAAAGAACCCGTAGAGTATGCAAAAAATTTTAACAGAGACGAAATATCCTATACAACATGCTTATATAAGCTTATACAATTTCCATAATGCGAAGATGAAATTTACAGCCAAGAGTGTCGTTCCATATATCAAAACCATTCGTTTAACTAATCGTCGTCTCCTAAATAGGCCAATAAAAATAATTTCGTTTTTCAGTTTCGATAAGATTAACAAACAAGTACAAAAAAGATTTTCAGAAACAGAGAACAAATAGTTTCTTATGCATGTGAGTGTAACAAAGCTGCAAACTTCCTCAAATTCGACAGCACCAAAACAAAACATTTTATAGGAATTCAGAAAGTGTCGTACAGTATAAAAATCTTGTTCTCACTTTTTTCTATAATTTCTGCCTAGAAAATTCATCACATTCGAATCATACTAAAAATAATTCATATCAAAAATCTAAAGGTCTTAAGCATAGCTAGTTAGATATTCGTATATGATAGTAATTAAACTTCAATTTTTAATTAAAATTGAGTTAAATGAAAAACCTCGGTCTCACATTACTGAAAATCAAATCCACCAAATTCGAGCAAATATATTGACCATCAAGATAAATGCAAGGTGTTGCATTGATAACAGCAAAAGCTAGAAAAATGAAGAAAAATTATTGAATTCACCAGTCTTAAATATTTATTATCAGTCTAGTGGGAAATTCACAAAGTGAAAATTTTCAACCAAATAAAAACAAACAAACCGAACGAGAATGTGAAGAGATACTTTGCCATTAGTTCAGTTAAATAAGGTATTAGTGCTGACGACAATGGTGACCGTGGCACGTAATTGCTCACTTGCACATCGAATTCCAACTATAAAAATACGAGTTTTTTCGAAAACAAAACCACTTATTAAATTGCGCAAGTTTTTCATTACAAAATATTTCTTTATAAAATTCTCGGAATATACTACCATTTCAAGTAGAAGAGTTATCTTTACTTTTATTTGAACCCAATCCAAGGGTAATGAACTGTTTGCATTACTTTAATTTAACTATTATTATTATTCTTCTTTTCACTTCAATAAGAAATTTTGGCTTCTTTTTTCTCCTTCACGAGAGCTAATGTGAAATCAATAAAAGCAACTAATGTTTTGATGAAAAGTAATCTTAATTATGATCCGTTTGTCACTTTCATTCAGAACAACTTCAATAATAAAATAAACCAAATCTCTACAGAAATTATTGGAGCGTGATTACCTCCCTAACGTAGCCCACATAGAGAACCATATGCGATGCATTCCCAATAGAAATTCTCATAAATGACATATCACCCAGAAAAGCAGGAAAAACGCAAGATGACTGGGTGGTTTCTAAGGTTCGGTTTGTGTTTGTGCAATCTTCAGTGGAAATGCAAGACGGCAAATCTGCAAAACTTTAGTCTTAGATGATTCAATTTTCAAGGATTATATTAAGAACCTTTAAAACTAATAATTTCTTTTTTTTCCAATGAATTTCAGAATATGTTTACACTGATAAAAAACTGCTCTCAACGAACCTGCTACATACCTCGCTGACAAACATGCGCATATTTTCGCCGAAAAATACTCCAACAATTCATGACTTCGCTCTCCAGCTAAATTTTATAAATATTAAAAGACAGCGTAAGAAAATATATGTAAAATTTTGTCCATTCTGTTCCAAAGTAGACAAGAAAATAACAAAAACATGCAAATCTTTGCGTAACTAAATTGTAACAAACTAACTTTAAGTAAGACTCAAGCGACCTCATTGCCATAATCATAAATGCAAGCAAACACAGCATATAAAGTAAAATCAAAACATACAGAAGTTATGCTTCCAATCACGTACATAAAAGCATACATGTGAAGCTGAATTATTCCATGTTGAATTCTGACAACAGTCTAATTCATTCCCTACCAATTGCATCTAAAATAGTTAATATTTTCTTGCATACTGTCACAGACGATTTAAACAACTCTTTCAATCGCGCGATTGATTGAATCCACGCTTTTCCTACTATTCCTCATTGTCAAAAAAGCACTACCAAGGATAACAAAATATAGTGTCGCATAATTTTAATAATGTAAGCAATTGTTTATAAGGAGTTTTTGTCAAGAAAAATCACATTTTCTAAAGTTCAAAGGAGACAAGTTCTGCAACAGATAAAAAAATCTAATAGAAAATAAGACTGAAATGCGCTCCTTAATAATAATCAAACATGCAAAAAGATATGACATTAATTCAATAAAACCCGAATGACAAATAATTAAAAACGCAACCTCATCTGCAATATTTTTCGCAATTACGTCACTTGGTACGCAAAATCCCGAGTTATTATACTTCATTGTCTTCAGACAGTGATTCCAATCGTCAATATTGTTTACGTTACAGCCATTTATTTCTTGAATGACATTGCCCTTCTGTAAACCAAGTGGTCCTGATAGGGGAGAATCCTTCTGAATATCTGAAATTAGCAACACTTCCATGCAATCACTAAGGAAATTTACGTAATCACAATACATCAGCAGTAAATTTTTTCGTTTTCTTACATTTCTCATACTCTCTGATGAAAACAAAATAATTTACTAGCTGACATCAGAAACCTTCCTCAAAAAAGATGTTTAAGATTACATAGCGTGGGGCCGTCTCACTATTATGAAATTCACTACAGTGATTGTTTGCGCCCACCTATATCATGCAGTTAACACAATTTACAGCAAAAAGATTTTATTAAGCTTATCTGATTGAGAAATGTTGCGCATTTTCATTACAAAAATTGACAATTTAACGAACCTTTAACATAAATGCCTGTTTCAGACATATACAATGGCGAAACAACGAAAGAAATAGATTCGTAAAATATCCATGCAAATAATGCAAGTACCAAATTATGCCATACACCCGCGCAACTAATTCTTAGTTTTTGTATAGAAGATAAGCGTCCTAAACAGAATTAGTATGATGCATCAAAGCACACAGATTTCATATTCGAATGCATTATCATCCAAGATTTCTCTATTCTTGTTTTTTACTAAATGCGTCTTTTTTTTCATATTCTCACTTGAACTCTTCAAAAATGAGAAAATTCTCAACTTCATGAAATGTTTTGAATCTATTTACCCATGCAACTTATAACGTATTTACAGAACTATCGATGACTTAAATGAATGAAAGATTTCAAAATTTACCCAAGCCACAAAAAACATAAAATGCTCCTTACAATCAATAAAAACCCACGCACTGCAGCAGCATCAATTTCAACGTATGCACCAAAATATACGGCGAGAAGGATGAAACCCATACTTATAACCGGAACATTGATACTTAATGCCGCTAACATATGTCCCATTTCATGAATTAATGCTGCGAACAATAAAATTCCAACATATAACGGCACTTGTGTCCATGGAATATTCCAGCCAGGAATTACAAATTTCAAACCTTCTAGAAATAAAACAATTTCTAGTACTCTATAACCTTAATTAATCATCCAATAACAAAACAACTCCTTATTGACCAAAATTAATTCGCGTTTTATACCTGGGAAGCATTGCAAAATTATGGATGATAGAATGAAGCATTTTATATTAAAATGAAACTGCTGACCGTCTTCTTCGATGAACTTTTCCTTAATTGTTGTAGCTTCCATCTCATAAACATTCATAACTGAACTATCCGAAGTAAACGAATGGAAATGTTCGAACCACCACGAACCTATTTCCATGATAAAACTCTTTGAAAGATATAGGGTAATTCCAAATGAGCAAAATATGGCCGAAATAATTCCAACAGTAAACCAAATTGTAAATAAGTATGAGAGTGGGCTATTTTGTACAAACGCTTTAAGTGTCGTATATGATGATCGGACAGGTACAAAACGAATCTGAAAAGTCATCTAAATTTTATTATTAAATAATATGATCACTAGTTTCATTACTAGTGTAAGTTGTCACTTAAAGAGCAATGATAAAATGCAAACACATACATCTTCGAGAATCGAAAATACCATCTTATCCAAGTAAACAATAACTTTACTGCTGTAGCATCTGTCCTGAGAATTTATTATCTCAATATTTCAAGCTTAGGTCAATTTCCAGTCCTCGTAAATTCATTAAAATAATCTCATTGTCCAAGGATTTGGAAAATGCATTTTACTTATGATTTCCTAAACGGTAATTTCAGTACGTAATCTCTCAGAAATGTACAACCACATTAAAGCGTCAATACTAAGTATGCATTACGCAATATATGCTGCTCTGCTTTGCATAAACTACATTGGATACGTCTACAAGTTCACATTTACGAATTAAATTTGATCATCGCAGTTTCATTACCAGTTAATCAATCATCTCCTGGCATTATCAGTATTAACCTTAACGAAGTTAATTATTTGCAGAAAAATATATTTATACGATGAAATGAACATCATTATCATTGTTATCTCCTATTATTATCTCTTTATATTAAAATTTAAATCTTATCTCCTGTTATTATTTCTTTATATTGAAATTTAAAGTTTATCTCGTATTATTATTTCCTAATATTAAAATTTAAGGTGTATATTTAAGTCAATGCAAGTAGTAAAATTATTAACCTGAAAAAATGTAATAATTAATTCATATCGTTCAACAAACGTCAAATACACAGGTACATGAAATGAGCGTAGGAGATGATCCAATAAATTGAGAGCACTCCAAAACGCCATAAACCAAGCCAAAATGGTGAATAACATTTGGGATGCAAAAATACGACAGTAATAAATAATATATATCCATTAGCAGCAGCAATCTATCAATAATGTAAACGCTGCCACTGTTTCGTATCATTGTTTCCTAATTGATCAGCAACACTTAGCATTTTTATTTTTTTTTTTGCTCTTTTGAGTTTAATCTATAATTAAATTAAAATTGAATTACTTAATTAGAATTTGGTCCCCTCCTCCCTGTCTCCTCCTACCACCCTCCACGCATTAGTCATAACCCCCCCCCNNTTTTATTTTTTCATCTTTTCATCCTCCCGTCATCATCATCACGTTGATGATGTCACTATGTAATAGAAGCATATCACGCTTTCTTAGACGCTTCACGTTTGCGAATTAATTCGTCCATCAGTAATTGCTGTTTACTTTTGTTAAAAAATTTACATCGATTTCATTTTTTTAGATTGATTCATGTTTTATAATGATTCAAATTACTTAACAATCATTTCTCGTGAACAACAAATTGAGTTCCTTTTTTTTTTTTTTCGCGTAAACGAACAGCCATGACATGAACGAAGAAATCGAATTTATTTTCATATAAGCAAGGAATCGTGATTCGAGTACTTTTGATTCAATTAATTTACAAATGAATGATAGCTACTTGTTAAGCTATAGAAGGAGATGACAAGAAGTTGTTTTAAATGAGTGAAATAAGTAAAATAAATCGTTAATAGGTTATTAAAATAGTTATTATGTTACTCACTTTTAGTAAAGTAAAAATTACTAACTTAGTTACTCACTTTTTATTTACTCAACTATTATTTGCTTCATAATTGTTAACATAGGCCCATTTGTATCCATGCTTATTTTATTTTTCAATGTTTTCTACCTTGTTACTTTTTTCTTAAAGCAATATTAAAAGCAAAAATCTTGAAAGCAAAGTTTTGGTGCTATTCATTTACATAATGCTTTCCCACTAATGAACTCATTTTTTTATAATATTTCTATTGGTGTAATGAACACGTAATATATTTCATTAATTGCAGTATTTCACGGTTTGTTTAACGTGATAATGACTGGCAAATGGTTATCAAATGATGTGTAACGATTAAAACATCTCTGATTATCGTGTTATCAAGAAATGCACATTTTGCAAAATAATCGTTTCATGTTTAAATAAATTCGATTTTATATTTTCAGAAAAATATGCCATTGAAAAGTTGGCAGACACGATCATTTCTTATTGAGCTTAAACCACGAAGTGAATTTGCTTCACTCTTTGTAGACTGTCCACCATCAGATGATAGTGAAACAAGCTGTCACAGCAATCAACAAATACAAAATGAAGCTCGAGAAAGGTAATAAGTTGTTGTTAGGAGAAATGTTTGTCATTTTTAATTTGTCGAACTTTAAGTGTTATTAAAATGAATCATTTTATTCACATAGCATTTCAATTCTCAGCTGAAGCATTTCAGAAACTTAGTTGATAAAATGATTAAACTTTGTAAACGATATAATTATTAGTGATAATAGTAATAGAAGGAAAAGAGTAGGAAGAGGTAGTATTACCTTATCAGTTCTTAGTTCCTACTTTAGGTTTTATGGAATTGGAAGATTGGATAAATTGTTTGGTATGTAGTATTGTCATTTCTTCTTTATCCTTCCTCTTTTTTTATCTAATTGTTTCTACGGTATTTGTTTGCTGTAACAAAGCAGTACTAACTTTTCAAAGTCGTTAATTAGAATTTCCAATTATGAGATTTCAAAATTACTTTTATAAATGTCTGATGATATAGGACTCGATTTATCTTCTTTTTTTAAGCTTTGTTTTCTCTTTATCTGTTGAATATTTTCCTACTTTATATCTTTCTCTTCTATGTTAAAAGACTATGTTCCAAAAGATTCAAGTACTAAGCTTGCAAAATCAATCCATCTCAACATGCCAGGTAATTTCGAATCAAATTTTCAACTTCAGAATATATATGGCTGTGTGAAATTACCATATCAGAAAGACAAAAAGGTATGTGACAAAAAATAGAAACTTTAACGCGTGATAGTACATGATATGAGGAAATATGTGTATAATACGCTATCCATTTCAGAATTGATTCTAATAATTTTTTCGTTCTCTTAATTGTTTTATAATACATTAATATACATTTAAAGTTTACCCGATGCATTTTTTTTAGTAAGGAAACGGTGGACCGAAAAGAAATGGTACATTTTCGTGAACATTCCATCGAAGTGAGTTCAATAGTCCAACAGAGGAAAGATGGTGTCACCGAAATGTTACCATCATACTGGGCTAAATTTGGTGATCTTACTTTGTATCCAAATTCAGTTTGCGCACTTACATGGGCTGATAATCATCGGTTGTTTATGTGCAAAGTACGACTGGTAGTTGGTGAATGCCCATTAGGTATTATTCTTGTCTTCATTTATTTGTGCAGTGACCGAGTAAGCTCCATTAAGTAGTTGGATGTTTTGGTATATTTAAAATCTTGATTTAAATCGTGAATATTTGTCAGAAGATCTCATCATTTTTAAAGCAGTAGGTAAATTATTCATTATTACAGGATGAATCACCTTAATAATTACACTTAAATAATTTAGGCTTATATCTGACAGTAATTGTAAACTTTGTTATTATACTGATTAATAATAGAATATTACATGATAGATATAATTGTTGAAATTTAGAACAATATTCAGCGCTTGAATATATGGAAACAATGCTGTTTTATTCATGTTAGATTTCTCTCATTCATTTTCAGTACCAAAAACATTTCATCAATTAGCAGTTGGTATATTATCTGGGATGCTTCTAGATGAATATATCGAGAATGTTCAAGCATTTCCCGTACACGCGGAATGTGCGGAATGTACAGCTACTTTGTTTAATTATTCTAAAGAGTTTGTTAATTTTTCTTTAAATCACACTACTTATTTTTTGAACCTTTTATCTTTTTTCTTTTCTTTTTATCATCCTTTTCTAGTCGCTCTTTTCTTTCTTTTTCTCCTCGATATTTGTTTCAAATATTGATATATTCCTAACAAATTCTAGCTTTTGCAGTAGTATGGAATTGCAGTCGTTACCGGAAGATGGTTGGTTGAATACTTCACCATCTATGGAATATTTTTGCCGTGATACATGTAATTCTGCATCACATTCTCACAATCATCATGGTGCGCATAGTTCAGATTTGATATGTGCTGATGATGCACAGAAACAATGGCTTCCAAATGAACAACGAATTGTCGTATCCGATTCGTATTTTTTAGTACTAAGGAAGGTTTGTTTTTTTTATTTCACATCGATATGATGAGTTTGCTGCAATATAAATGAATTCACCGTATTGGAATAAGTGAATAAATAACTTTTGATACCAATATAATTGTTTCGAATAAAGAAGTAGTCTAATTAATAAGGCGGAAAGCAGGATTTGCTTAACATTCTTCATAAATAGTTTATGAAATATATAGTTTCATAAATAGTTAATTTCTTAACTAATAGTTTTATAAATATGAAATGTTTAGTTTCATAAAAAGAGATAAATTCATAAATAGTTAATCCTGCTTTCAGTTAGTTCTATTTTGTTGGTTTCTTATGTTAATAATAATAAGGAGATCTTTGATAGTTTGCATAGTTCTAAAGAAATGCGAAATGACTGCCTCGTTAATGTCCGCTAAATCTGTAAATAGAACAGTAATTGCATTGATTTATTTTTCTCTTTCATTTTTTGCTTGGCGAAAATCCTCTTCTGATTCTTTTGATCATTACCTCAGAAAAAAAAAACTTACAAAATTTAAATTAAAATATTCATTCCATTCACTCTTAGTTTACATTAATCACTCGAATTTTTCCACGATATCATAATATTTCTTCATAATATATTTCATCATTGGAAAACTGATTTGGAAAATATTCTTCAGATGATTACCTCAGATACAATAACCGTTGATGAGTCCAATATTGTGCTCTGTGCCAAATGTTCTGTGGAGATTGGAGTTATTCTCAAAAGTGTGTTCTGCTATTTTATCCAATTAACTTGTCGTTTTCTTACAGCAATTCAAGCAATGTACGACTTTTGGCTGTTGAGGATTTCGTAGTATAAGCAATACTTTTTAAAATAGTCCTCTTACCGATAAACTTTTATTACCTTGTTACCTTTTGTTTGTTTTGAATAAATATCTACTTTAATTTTAGTTTTAATGAGTTTTGGCTTATGAGGATTTCGTAGTATCAAAAATACTTTCAGAAAATACTGATATTGTACAGTTTCATCATGTCATGTGCAATTTAATGGTAACTGATGGTGGGGAAACTTGTATAAATGCCAGGTCAGTTGTTCTCCGCTAATATATTATAGTGGAAAAGTTATTATTCCGTTTTTCTGCTTTTCATTTTATAGGTATTGAATCAAAATAATTTTGCTATTCGCTACACCTAGTGGAATGATTCCATGGTTGGATGTGATAGAATAGTTTCGGTGGACATAGTGTGATACAGTAATGTAAAATCTAACTTTTTAACTTTAAAGAAAAACTAGAAAACGTACATGTTACCGTTGTTAAATGATGTCAAATCTTCTAGAAAGGTGTATTACCATTTTTTTCAACTTATTAAATAACATGCTATGAAATATAGATTTGGCACACTAGAGCATTTCTTCGCCTGGATGTTACTTTATCAATGTGAATCGCAGACATCAGGAAAACTCGTCCTTCGATCTTATAATAAACGGCCGTATTTACTGGTAACTGAATTTTGTTGTTTTTATAATACCGATAGAATCTTTCTGTTGGTTTTTTACTAATTCTTGAATAATATTATTCTAATCTGAAGATTTGGTTGTTGGATTCATATGTTGTAATATCACAAGGCGAACTGACCGAAGTTGAAGCTGAGGGAAACGATAAATTGGTTTATTCATTCCCAGCGCTAAAAATGCTTTACAAGGTATCAATTAGAAATAACTTAAATATTTCATCTCAATTGCTATGACTGCTAAATTTTTCAAAATCATTTTTAATTTCATTTCATTTGTAACATTTATAATGAAGATATTTATTAGAGCATAGTACACATCCGTATTCTAATGAAAGGAGAATTAGTTGAATTGATATTGTACGTTTTGTAGTTTTAAATTATTTGTCATATTTCATAATATCATAATTTAAGATATTTGATGCTGAATCAGCTAAAACGGATCCACGTGCGAATGGTGAAGATGCAAGTGTGGGTATATTAGATATACCACTAGTATGTTGCGTGAAATTAACTGAAATGCTGCTTGAATCATCACTAGCTTTACCTCCAACAGGACGAAGTGTCGGCCAGTTTTACGTACGTGTTGATGTCACTTATAAATGTGTTGCTGATTTAAGCAGATTCTATTAAACAAAAATTTCTTCGATTTGAATTTATTATCATTCACTATTTAGATTTAAATAGTTTCCATATTTAAATTGCTTTTTATGTTTATTCTGGTCTAAAATTTCTATGGATTTTCAGGTTGGTTTTTTAAAATTAAAAAAATTTGATGGATTGATGAATTAACAACAGTCACGATGCGGAAAAAAAGCAAATATGTTCACAAAACATCGCATGTTTCCCATTATTACTCATATATAAACGATGAACGATTAGTATTATGAGTGCAAAATGACCAGTATTTATAATAATGTAAAAGTTCATTTTCAGAAACACTTCTGAAGATATTTATTTGCTATTAAAATATAGGTATTGATATTATCTTTGTAAAGGCTAATTTATTACTTTCAATTAGTGTCGTACCACTTTAGGCGATTTATTGTTTCGACATGATAGCTATCGAAATAACTTATCTCTTAGATCACTATGCTCAAAAAAAGAATGTTTAAGATTATTGGTAATTGTGAATCATTATTGACAAATCCAGTTTTGCAATTTCTTTTTAGCAGTAATATTAAAACTTAAAAAAATTTAATTTTGCTGGAAAAATTTAATTCTTTACTATTCGATTGAATTTTTTTCTATTATAATGAAGCTTAAAACGCGCTTTTTTTGAATGAAAACATGCTATGTAATTTACAGAAAATACATATGTATATAACACTAAAAACAACTCCTTATAGAGAAAAATTGGAAAAGTTAAGGATACTACTTACTTAATTTCAAATTTAAAAATTCTTTGACTAAAATGCTTATTTGACTGTTTTCATTTTTTTTGAACTTTATACCTCTCCATTTTGGTGCTTTTCGTTCTTTCAAAAATAAAAAATGAAAAAACATTTTATTTGGGTACATTGTCTTTGCTATAATGTAAATAAATTTTTTTTTAAATTACCGCATTGAACAACAATTGTATAAGATAAAGTATGCTTCAAATATTTCTTGCGACAAAACATATCGTAGTGAGATGTTTAAAGATTTGAAGAAAGATAAATAATTCATCCGTTTTAAATCATTGCGAATATTACATAACTCAGATCAAAGATATCCCTTTCCTAATTCACAAGTGCAGTTTTAATTTATGAAAAAAAGAAATAGTCTTAGCACTATGATCTTAAGCAAATTTAAAAAGCTTTTAATACAAACGATGGAAGAGATACTTTTCTTTCAAGCAATAAAATGACTGATGAAGATGGTAGACAATGTCGTTGATAAGCTAAATAAGATAGAACTTGCTAGTTTCCGGCCTTTCTGAAAAGAAAGAGTTATTCGTAGGTGTTAATTGCTAGGATTAATTGAGGTATGTCATTGTTATCTTATCTTAAAGATAGTGATCACTTCTGCAATTAGGTAAAGAACGCGATTTAAATAGCAAAAATTGCAGTAAAGTGTTTAATGTTATTAAAATTCATTCAAAAGAAGTGCCGCTGAATCTTTTCATTAAATGAACAACGGATTAAGAAAAGATTTAAAGGAAGGAGGAGGAAAGTTCAATTAAGTCAAATTATATCCTTATATGCAAATTAAAGGATGATTATTTGGGTGAAAACATACCTTCGATTGCATATATCCCCATGGATAGCCGTATTTGATAAATTGACAATTATGTGGTACTTGCCAATCAATATTATCCGGTAGTGGATTAGATTTTGGTAGTTCAGTACAATTTTTATAAACCCAACATTTTAATATGTTTACAACCTATAATTCATGAAATTTAAGTTCCAATCGCTTTTCTTAGGATTATTTGCAAATATTTATAAAAAAGAATAAAAACGTTTGCTACTAAATGCAATAATCTCATCTAACACAAAAGTTCTTGAATTTTCATATTTCGATCAAATTATGAAAATTGTTGAGCTATTTTTATTAGAAAAGAAATGGACAAAAAAATAAGATAAAATATTTTATTAGAAAAAATATTATTGCTACTTTTAATTAATTGTTATATAAATTTCGGAAAAAATGATTTCTTCAGTTTTTGTTTTGTTTTCTTTTTCTTTTTTTTTTTAAAATACAACCTGAAATCGTTCATATGTCACAGATGGTGGATCACATGTATTTGGTGCACGCAAATCAAGATGATGTGCTGCATCTGACATATGAAAAATGTAAACACCTTTCTTCATTGCTTCCATAATACCAGGTGAATTTTCGTAAATACCACCACCGGACCATGGATCTAACTTACCGTTCCTAAGTGGTATAAAAAATAAATATTATTTTATAAATGTCTCTTTTTTCCTCATTTCCAAAATGTACTACATTTATTAATACGTGCAGTATGTCAAATAATATTGTGCATATATTTTTGTTTTTTTTTTTAAAAAACTTGATTAAATAATAAACTAACGAAAATATAATATTGCTCGTAGCATTATATGTCATTCCATAACGTATCATTGCATCTTCATATTTGAAGAAATTACTATTGTAACCAATATTTTCAAATAATTTAGTGCAATATTTCATATCGGTATTGATTAAGCTGTCTGAATTACCACAGGTATTCAAGAAAAAATCATTTTCTCCACCTCGATCACAAGTTTGCACTGTCAATGATGTACAACACTGTAAAAATAAATTAATTCCAATAAATTATGTAGTAGATATTTTAGTTTATTTAATTGAATTTCATTTATTTATTCATTTTTTCTTTTTTTTAATACCAAAATAAACTTCTATAATTTGCTAAATAGAGGTATACTATATGAGTTTCTTGTTTTTAGAATTTCTATGGATAGTATCTAAGAGATATTGCAATAAGCTTACTTGCCAATTCCAAGCAGTATCTTCATCATGATTATGGAAAGGTGTCAATTTTTGACAACCGTCTGTGAAACAATGATAACTAAGCTGTCCCGTATAGTTATAATAAACATTAATTATGTTATATAATTGTTCTGCCAATCCTTCATCACTTGTTTTAGCTTTCGTAGCATTTTGACAAACATACTGAAAAGAAAAAAATGATTAAAGAAAAATTGAATTCTTATAATTTCTTAATTTATCGCAAAATGAACCATTCATAATTGTTAAAGTAAAAATGGTATTAGCGTCTGAAAATTGTTCTATATTAACACAAATAAAATTTATTTATTTACAGAATGAAAAGTTACACAAAATTTTGAAATGATATGAATTAATTTCAAACTAATAGATAATTGGAAATTACTATACAAACGTATAACATTTTATATGTAAAACTGATTAAATAATGCAATATCTGATAACATAATAATAATAATTTTGGAGATTAAATTAATAACTATTAACCTTAACCGGATAACCAGGTAAAGGTGTGAGGAAATTAGTTGGATATGGATAATCACTCATAGCCATGTAAAAAATAGCAGCATAAATATAGGAATAGAGATTTATGAAATCATGAGAGCTTTCCATTTCATAGCCTGGTTCTGAGTGAAATATTCGATTCAATTTCTTTCGACCTTCTTCTACAACAAAAAGATTCATTTTCGAGTAATACAGCAAGTTTCCTTACAAATACATTAAATTTCTTTATGAGTTGTTAGCTTTAGAAGAGATATTACCTTCGGTTAGTGAGGAAGCATGACCTTTAAGGGACAAAAAATTCCTCAAATTTATAAGCCGATGTTTGTTATGTAATTCATGAATCGGATAAAAAGGTAAAGCATAAAAGGAAGCTGACATTCATCAAAATTTTATTATCAAAATTTAGGTTATTGAAGGATTAACACTGAAAATGTTAGCAATGAAAGAGGGATTACTGTAATATGTTCTTTCTCGTTATCTTCCGTATATAATCAATGAAAGCTTTAGAAAAATAGTGGCTGGTATTCGGTTTATTTTGAATTAACTAATCATTGAATGAAGTATTCTTGATTTATGAGACAAATTTCTGGAGTTTTTATGAAACAAACTCTCGATGAATCATTTTAGTATCAATTAAATATTTGTAGATTTTTGTGAAATATCGTATAAAAAACCTCAAATACTGTATGATGTAGGGAATATGGCATAGGAATGAGGACGGATACTGTACAAGGGAAATATTGTGAAGAAATTGTCCTATACGAATGTTTCTGGTATACATAATACCTGAATTCTTGTACCAATTGATTCATTTATTAATCGAAGGCAATCAAATGACCTGTTTCTGATAATTTCTCAATTGCGGAGAATCCTTTTGAAAATACTTCCCGATCACATCCACTATTTACATAATTGGTTGTTGTTATGTTACTCACACGATCCGGATTTACACCTGTTCCATAAAAATTCCTTATCGGAGCTGAGGATGCCCAAGCTCTAAAATATTTTTCAAATCTATAAGCTATAAAATATTTTCGAAAATCTGGAAAGTTTCGATGCAAATGTATAAGTGAAATTTCATCACCATTATATGTTACAAGTCTATCTGACTGAATCAAAAAATGATAATAATTTTTTTTTCAGTCAATAATAAAAACGTAAATAAATTTCATTCAGTCACACATATGCTATATTAAATGATGCATAAAATTTCCGTTACAGATTTCATATATACGTATAGTACTTCGTATGTTTTCACAATATTCTTCTTTAATTCTTTTTTTTCAAATTTCTTCCATTTTTTGTAACAGAAAAAAATATTGTAAAATGAGAAATAAAATACCAAGAGATATAATAATAAATTATATGTAAAAAAAATGCCTTATTACCCATCTACAATATGCGGGTATTTCATGCGAAACCATGCAGCAAGTATGCCACCATATGAACCACCGAATACGATAACCGGTATTTCGGTACCAGTTGGACAAAAGCCAAGTTCCCCTTGATCAGTTCTTAGGAACGAAATTAATTCTGCAAAGTCAGCCAATGCTTGGATATCATTTAAATATCCCAATCGTGAAACACTCTAAAATTTGCCATAAATCAATCAGTTACTGATATATACTGTATCTTAAAAAAGTGAGATGCTATTGCTTCGGATACTGAACGCCTTTAATGCGATATGCTGTAATTATTACAATCTAAAACTCAGAGATCAGCTGAACTTCAAATAATTTAATAATGTAAGAAAAGGTATAAAATTAAATATAATTGTTGATATCATTATAAGTTACCGTATAACTTCGTTCTCCGTATGGTTTTGATTCACCGTAATATCGATGTTCTGCGAATACGATAGCAGCATGAAAGCTTGGTGCTAGATCCCACATAATACCCTATTAATTTTCATTTAATTCTAAATTTATATATTGTTAATAAATTTTCATAATACATTAAAAGGTGCAATAATTAACCGCAGTATTGATTAATTAATTGATTCGAAAAAAAACCTATTTACCGTATTTTGTGCAAATGATTCAACAGCACCTTCGTTGCCAACATAGAAAAATAGTGGTCCACCACAGTGAAAATAGGAATAATTTACTAAATACCTGAAAAAATAAATGAAATTGTATTTTTTAGGGAAAAGAACCATGAATAATTATTTTAAAAAATTATGCTGTTTAAGTACTAAATTATATATAATAAGGAATTTGTTTAAATAAAGATTACAGAAATTAGAAAATATTAAGAAAATCAATCAATAATTCATCTTTTTTGGAAGGATTTTTGCTAATGATGTATCTGTTATAATTTAAATATAAAGTTCATATCTTTTTCAATTTTTAAATTTTAATTCTTTCACGCTATCTTATTAGCAAATGAATAGTAAAAAGTTTCATTTTTCCAATGAGAACTTACCAGATAACTAATTAATATTTTCAAGTAAGATATTTTAATTCCTAAATAATTCGTTATAATTCAAAAAATTTATTGTACATTTTTAAAAAAAATTATCTATTACTAACAAAATTATAATGTTTTTTCTCTTATTTTTGCTATGTTTTTGCAAAATTATGAAAACTGAAACTTTCAAGATTTCATTTTTTTTTTTACAAAAAAATATTACAATGTTCGCTCACTTAAGACTAAAAATTTCAACAGCTCGATAACTGAAATGATCAATCGGCATCGAATGATACCACTTAACATTCCAATCATAATTCAATACATCCATCGTTTCTGTTGCCATCCATAAATCATTCGATATATTACGAATGATACTTCGAGAAATTAAATTCATAATTGGAGGAAATACATCAAGTTCTCTAACATTGTCACTAATACTTATCACTCCTACCATTAATAATTGTAGCAATAGCAAGAGCAGGAATGGATAGTGTTGAAAAGATGATATCATTTTCCTGAAAACCTAATTACTTTTAGAATTTTATGAAAAAAATGACATAACTTATTACAAGTATAAAATTCAATTTATATATCTTTTTTATTAGTAAATAAAATGGAAAAAAATTGTAATTTCATTAATATTAATTCCAAAAAAACTGTTAGTTTTATATAATCATAATTGTGAGAATAACCTCATTTATGGTGAATTAATTATATTCAGAAACAAGCATTCATTTAGATATAATTAATCTATCGTAAATTAAAATCATTAAAGTGAAGGTATGCATAATATACTACAAATGAAAAACTGTGATTGAAAAAATTTTTTTTAATTGGCGATAAAATAAAAAAAATGCATACAAAAAATTTTTATATGTTTGCTTTGTGCATTAAAATGGGAAAGGTTGAAATTATATACTTTAGTACAGAAAAGACTACTGCAATGATAAGACAGAATCTATCTTTATCAGTTAAGGAAGCTGAGGAATGTCTAATCGACAGTAATCATTTGTCTGCTGAAATAATTCGACGATTAAATGCAAAAATTATTTGATTTAGCTCTCATTTTTTGAAAAAAGATGAAATTCAGTAGAATGATTCAATTTCATGGTTTAAAAAAAAGATAACAATCAAATTTAAAGTAAAATTAGTGCCATAAAAAAATAATAAATGAAAAGAATGAAGTAAATTTGTGAAAATTAACAAATTGAAATAAAAATAAAAACTCTCGTCAATTTTTTCGTACTGTAATATTCAATTTTTTTGCTACATCATCAAATCAAAGATGTATATATTTTAATTCTTATAATAACAAAAAATTAAGAAGACGTTTTAAAATTCAATTTAAAATTTTCAATCATAGTTTTAAATGAAGTAATGTTATAAACTTTCTTTTCTCTCCTAAATGCTAAAATTAATGTAATTTCATTTTTTACCGATTAAGATTTAACAATCATATTAATTTGTGATTATGTTTACAATCTTCTCGATAATTTGAGAATAACTCAGTATAATATTAATTAATATAATGTGATATCAATTAAGTGATAAAATATAATACGCAACACAATATCATATCATATCTTGGTAATAATTATTTATATCAGTTATAAGCTTGGAGATACCATTTAATTTTAAATAAGTAATTTGATATGGTAGCATCAGTTATAATGCATTATTAAATCATTGTGTAATATCAAATTAATAATTAAATATAATATCAATTCTGAACGCAATATCAGAAATATCGTATGACAGCAAATAAACGATTGGATTGCCTATTTTTGAAGGATGATTAATTAAAGTATTAAAATGTCTTATAAGAAGTGTTATGCGTCATGACACCTTTGCCATCAAATGTTTTTTTTTTCCTTCCTTTTTTATATTCGTATGCATTCAAATATAATTGCCCATTTTATTATTCCAATTAAAAAAATATAAAATGAAAACTTGTTGTTGTTGTTTTTTCTAACTATTTGCTATCGAATCATTTATTCCGGAATAAGACTGTCAATAATTTATGGATAGCGACAAGCGGAATCAGAAAAAATTGTTCAATGCTAAAGAATCGATACAATTGCAATTTCAAATGAAGCTAAATGTATGCATTTGTTTGCTCAATTTTTCTTTTTTGAAAAGTTTTTTTTAATTCATCACAAAAAAAGAAACTTTTTCTTTTTTTTGGAATTTTAATAAATTACCAAAAAATTTTCCTATTGTGAGAGTAAAATGTTTTCGTAGTAAAAGTATTCCAATTCGTGTAATCAAAAGTGCTAATTTTCATTCATACTGCTAAAAAACCAAATGAAGACTTTTTATTTTAAAAAAAAAGGACAACTTGAAATGAGAATTCAACGATTAATTAATCGTTGTTTTTGATTTAATTTTTCTATTATTTTGATTTCGCATGTTCCAACCAACGTTTGATATATAATTTTTCCAATTTCCTTGCTTTTTTAACCGAATTCGTATCTAATTGATGTTTGCCGCGTAGATCGTAATGGTGTGCTCCATCCTTAATTATTGAAATTTTTTACATAATAGCTTACTTCCTTACTTATTAACATCACTTGTTTACTTAATTATTACTTCCAACAGTATACTATACTCTGTAAAGATATTATTTATATTAGAAATCGATAATTGTTCGCTTTATTTATTTACTGCTTAGTTATCAAATAACATATTGCATTATATTCTCTTATTTATCTTTGCAAATTGAATATTTCACGGAGTTTTTTTTCTTTTCAGCTTGAAAACAAAAAGCCAACAAGAAAATGATTTTAAAGTTTCAAAAAGCATCTTATTAATTAAAAATAAATAATTCTTACAGTGAAACATTCCATTAAAATGATATAAAAAGTTAACCTTAACGATAATGCTAATCAATGATCCCATTATTTGTGATTTCAATGACCAACCGCCAGCAGACCATGGATCCAAATATCCGTTACTTCAATTTTTCACAGTTTATTTAAAATTTTATTTTAAATTTACAAAATTAAGAGGATGAAAAATGTTTCAATAATTCAATGATTTAAATAGCAATTGGCAAGTTTGTACTTCGATTTAATTTCTATTTCAGTTTAAAATTTATCTCTTCTTTTGCTTAATAAACTGGTAATCCACTAAAATGATATTTTCTCCCCCGAAAAAAATATAGCCCAATAAGATAAATGATATTCGATAACATTTGAATCAGTGAATTTTCATCAAATTTGAAAATGTCGTTGTTATTATCTAAAATAAGTATAACAATTCTTGCCAAAAAAAAAATCAGAATTCTCATATTAATCTAAATTGGTGATTTTTTAACACTTTGTTGCAATATTATTATAAAAGTAATGACCTGAATACAATGTTTGTGGCAGTTGGATATCGATGACCATAATTTAAAATACTCCAATGTGGTCGCATTAATGGTTTTGTATATCCAAGTTTTCCAAAAACATCGATACAGTAGGATTCTTGACCTAAATTTATTGTAAAATTTCTTTCCGAAATTTTTCATTGCTATAATTTTTTAAAAAAGACTGTTTTCAAAACATTATTAGTTCAAATAATTACTGGTAATATTATTTTGAAATTTGTATTCAAAAGTTTCCGTTTCTTTCAAAAGTTAATTTTATAAAATTCGTGAAAAAATATTGCTAGCAGCTGAAAATTAATACTTATGTAGTAAATTGATTTATGATTGATAAATTAGATTAATTTATAAAAAATTATTAAAGATAAATTAAATTAATAATAAAAATGCACCTTCAACGGTGAATGGGCAATTTTTAATGAAGAAATCGTTGGGTGGACCACTGGAGCACTGCTGCATTACCATTTCAGTACAGGACTTAAATAATTCCAATTAATTAACTCATCATAAATTTTGAAGGATGGAAATGTTAAATTGAAAGTAGAAGAAGAACCGAAAGTATCGAAATGCTTGAAATGATCTGATTAGCGATTTCCAATTCACATATTTCTATGATTAAGTATGATTACGTACAAATATTACTATCAAAGTAATTAAAAAATCCAAATATTCTCTCAATAATTACTTAGATTATCATTTCATAGCTCAAGAAGGGAACAACAGAAATTTAATTCCAAAACTTTAAGCTTTCTTTTTTTTCAAAGAATTCTTATGAATTTTACATTTTTTTTCCTTGCTTATTTGTTTACTAAAAAATTTTCTTTCCTCAGTTCCATTCCTTTTATTTCAAATTTCAATCTAAACTTTCAAACAAAAAAAGAAAAACCTTTTCTCATACCTGCCATGACCAACCAAACATGTCACCAAGCGCTCCATAAGCGGAATCTTTGCATACTTTTGGTTTTATACAAAATGTTTCCTTTTGTCCTGTATAATTATAATAAAGATTCATTATTCCAAACATACTTTGCGCATATTCTTCCTCAGTTCTTTTGGTGCTATTGAAAAATTTGCATGCAACCTTAAATTGGCATGCCGTTAGTAATAATAATAAAATTGCATTTACTGTTTTTGATATTTGGAGTATCTTAGAATTTTCCAAATATGATAATTTATCAAGGTAAGCAAGATTGCATATATTATAAAGGATACCTTGTAGAATTTAGAATGAGGATATTTCTTGTGGTGATAATATAAAAGTTATATTATTATTTTTAATCTTTGTTAGAAAATAAAAGAATGAATTTGTTTTTTTATTAATTATAAAAGTATGTTTATTTGCATGAAATATTGTGCTTAGGCAAACTAAATATGCTAAAATGATAAATTATAATTGTTGTACGAGTTAAATACATTTCAAATTAGCATTAGTCCCAAGAAAACACAGAAGTAAATTCAATTGAATTTTAAAATATTTTTTCCAACCAAAAAAGGACAGTAAAGATTAAAGGGCAAATTTGCAAACTATACTAAATTTAATTATCCTACAATGTATAAATTATGATATTTATAAAATAGTACTGAAGGAAAAGAAAAGATAAAATGAAAACTTACTTTAACAGGCCATCCGGGAAGTTCAGCTAAGTAATTACTCGGGTATGGATAATTAACCATAGCCATTGATTGAAATATATCTTCCAGATATTCTCGAAGCATTATCCAATCATCACTGTTATTCAGGTATGATTTTTTGTCCAAACGAAATAAGTGATTTAAATAGGCTCGACCAGATACTAAAGAGATAAATGAATAAATTAACTATAGTTATTTCAGTGTCAGATAGCATGTATTTCTTCACTATTGATAAAATTAACCTTCAAAAAGTTATTTAGGAAAAAATAGAACTTTATCTGAATGATCAGAAATATAAAAGTAAGCAAAAATAATATTCAGACAGACATTGAATTGATCGATCATGGAATTTCTGATTATTAAAAAAAATTGAAAACTGACCCGTTAAGGATAAATTTTCAAGTGCTTTCCATCCATTAAGTACATTTTCCTCGATGCAACCAGAATTCACAAACGATCGTTTAACAATATGATTGTATGCATCTTCCGGGACTAAATCGGACATATCAGTAAACCAGAAAACCGGAGCACTTGATGCTATCGATCTGAAAATCATCGCTATTTCTTTCCATTTCGATTTTTAAATAATATCATTAAATTAAGCTTTAAAATTTACGTGAATAAATTGTAACGTTAATAATTTCAAAAGAGAAAATTTTTGAAAATTTTAAGAAATAATTATCACTTATCAATGAATTTGATAACAAAATACCCTTCCACTAAATGCGGATATTTGATACGTATCCATGCGGCGAGCATTCCACCGTATGAGCCACCAAATGCTATCACAGATGAATTTTGAGCGTTGAAAAGACGCTAAATTGGTTAGAAAAGCAATTTTGCAATTAATTAAATGAAAAATTTGACGAGATGGATAAACGCTCTGCAAGTTGTATGTACGCGTGATCCTATTCACGTATGTTTGCTATTTTTGTTATTCACATTATTACTTTCCTACTGCACTCACATATACTACTTTCCCACGTGTATTTACTGTGTACTGCTTTCCCATGTGTATTTGCTACTTACGTATCTTCCACGTATATTTGCTGCTTTTATACCACTTTCTCAGGTACATTTGCTGCGTACGTATATTCGTAACTTATGTGTTTTCTTATGTGTTTTTTTTTTATAACAAATTCTTCAAATCTAATTTGTTGTAAAATAGTGAAATTTATAGTGAAATTCATTCATAATCAAACAGTTAAATTCGCTAAGTGAAGCATCGAATGTCACAAAATTTAACTGAAATGATAATCAAACCAATCAATCAAATTATACCTTATCGTTGCTCCCGGTCTTTCCTTTATCATTTCAATGATTGCTTTATTTGATTTTCGATGGATGACGACAATAAATCCTACTTATCTATTAATATGGTTCAATTTAATGCCTTAGGCTTTAATCTTTAAACCACATTAAGGTCGTGTTTTTATTTCTTTTTTCAAATATATTCATTCTTTCGTTTTGATTTTCAAAATTCAAAATTGAGAGTAAAAAATTTGAAATTCACGTTATTTTTTAGATGGCGTATGAGAAAAGCGAAATCAGCCAGCGCCTGTTCGGATGATAAATAACCGAGATTCCGGATTGTTAAATAACTTTCTTTGCCGAACGGTTGTGATTTCCCGTAAAACCGATGTTCAGCGAATACAACAGCAGCATTAAATTCCGGTGCTAAATCCCACATTAAACCCTAAAAAAGTTACGAATGAATAATTCCGAGTAAAACATTTGACAGTTAATAAGAAATTAACATCCGGAAATCAAATATTTTGTCGAATTAGTGACTTTTCATAAAATAAGAAATGAATAACAGAAATGAATATTTGATCAAATTAATAACTGTTTATGAAATAAGTAATGAATAATCGGAATAAAATATTTAATGAAACGAATGCATGACGTACGAAATAAGTACAGAATGAATTATTCTGTAAAAACTTTGTAATAATTTCATTAATTTATTTATCTAAAATGGTAAACAAATTAATGAAATTTGAAACGGAATAAAATGCTCAGTAGAAGAAATATGTAGTCAAATAAAATAAATAAATGATAAAATGTAGAAAAATAACAGCAAAATTAGTGCTGAACTACTCAGTAAATAAAAACTTAACAAACTGATATTTAACTGAATCAGACCTCATTAATTACAGTTGAATTAAGAACCATACCATAAAATCGTCACCAAAAGTCAATTTAATTAAGAAGTACTACACTTATATAACTCAAAATAATTTTTTAATTTAATTGATTAAAAATTTCTAACTTACTGTATTTTGGGCAAACAATTCGATATTCCCTTCATTACCAGTGTAAAAAAAGATCGGTCCATTAGGAACAAAATTTTTGGTATTTATTAAATAACTGAAAATTTAAATTGTAAAAAATATCAAAAAATTAATGAAAAGTAACGAAAATATTGAAATCAGTAAAATTACGAAATATTAAATTATTCTTATCTAATTTGCAAAATTTAAACAACCTTTTTATTCTTTAACAAAAAGAAAATTCTGATTTTATAATCAAAAAAACTTTCATTACATTTAAGAAGTGAAAAATTTAAAAAAATGAAAAATGAAAGGACCGTAAGCGAAAAGTTCGATTATCGTGAAATGAGAAATGATCGATGGGGACATTTTCCAACCATTCTTCGGACCATTTGTAATCATTTTCCTTAAAAAAGAGGAAAAAAACAAATTATTTTCAGTCAAAAAAAAAATATTAAAAAATTTTTCATTGCATTTAAAAAACTGAAACTTTAAAAATTCTTCTTTAATTTCACAAAAAAGGAGAAATGTAGTACTTTTTTACAAAAAATAAAAAATATTTTATAGAAATAAATAAAGAAAATTGGAAATAAATTCATTACTCTTATTTGATGTTGTTTTCCTTGCAGTCGTAATTGTAATGGAATATGAATTACAGGATCATGAAAATATAATGATTTTCCATTTCCAGTAAACAGTATTGCAACAAGTATTATAACTTTAGTTAGCATTGAAAAATATTAGCAACAATTAATCGTAAATATATTTTTCACCTAAACATATGGCGAAAAAAATTGAATAAATGAACGATAAAAAAAGAAGAAAACAAAGGTGAAATTTTAAAAGGAATCAATCTAAGGATTGAAAATTTTCATTTATCGATTATACTTTACTTGCCTATGCTTATCAGTTATCTGATAATGATTTGAGCTTTTTAAATGAGTAAAATGATAATTGAGAGGATCGATGCGAGAAATAAATGGAAATGACTGATATGAAAAACAAAAATGATTGGATATATCGTCGAATAAAAGCTCAAACAACAAATGTATCGCTTTAAATAGTTTGAAGCTGAAAGCGATATAGCGTATAATTTTTGAGCGAATGTTAGCTGAGAGAGAGAGAGAGAGAGGGAGAGGGAGAGAGAGAATGAGTGAGTAAGTGAATAAGCACTGAGCAATGGGAAAAATCTACAAGGTCAAAGTTCATGCTACACTCAGTGACATTCTGTGTAACAGCTGCTTCTATTGCAATTTTCACATTTCTTTTCACATTTCGCTCAAAAATCCTTTTAAAATTAAACTTTTAGGAAGTTTGAAAAGGATGCATGAGTCATCTGAGATAGCAAATTTAATGACAAATTTTTCTTTTTGTCTATTAACAATAATTATAAATTATAAACAGTGGAGATCTATCATAATATTAATATTTCAATTCTTTGTTTGCAAAAAAACGCGGCAAATTTTAACTTTATGAATTAAATTCTTGTTTATTTATCAATTAAATTCAGAATTTTTTAATTTCCACAATTAATATAAAAAAATATTAATTGCTCCAGAAACATTAAAAAAATTTTTTATAACTGAACATATAAATTTTAGTTTGCAACAAATTTTTAGAAGCAATTTATTTGATAAATTGTTTGATAATATGACATCAACGATTGATAAAGCATAATGAAGAATTTATGTTTGTGATGCAAAGTAATTTCGAAGGTACATTTTGATAGTTTTTAAACGACCACGGATAGCAATATCTTCACTGCAGCATGACAAAATTGCCTGAATCAATAAAAAATCATAATCATTTGAAAGCATGATAAGTAATGATAACGGTAATGATAATGATGATGATAACGCAGTACAGGAGTAATAGTATGGTAATTGTTTAAGCTAACAAATCCACAAATGCAGAAATAGAATTCGAAAAATTTTTAATATGTTTCGTAGCAAATAGATAGGTTTTCGAATTAAAAATTCTTTCATTTAAAATTCTTAACATAATATTTCAACTAATTAAATAAGATAATTTCTGTCCCGGATATTATATATCTCGGAAATGTTTCGATTTGCTCATAAAATTTTTTGACTGAAAAATACTATTTTCTATTAGATGATTATATTTCATGGATTTGCATAAAATAATGGACAAAAATTATTCAAGCAGTAAAGACGTTAAACAAAAATGTTTAGCGGAAATCCTAATCAGTCTTGACAAAAAATCATGCAAGTTTTAAATTTTTAAATTTAATTTATTCCAGATGATATGATATGATCCATTGATTCATTATATCATTAAAATATATCATTTTATTTATTCGCATCATTAATCAATTAATTAATTTTTATAAATTATTTTAAGTGATATAAGATGATATTTAAGCTAAGCCAACTAACATTACGAATTTCATTAGGAACCAATTCCGGTTCAATGTATAATGGATTTTGTATACGATATTGTGGATTTCGAATATTAGCCGCTGGTTCATCTTCAAACGGTAATGCGCCACCGTGAAACATTGACCAAAGTATTATCCCGAAGGAATAAATCATTCCCGATGTATTATAAGGAGCGGGGGTACCATCTGAACCTGGCAAACACTCAGGTGGTAGCCATCTGGAAGCAATTAATTCATTTCATGTTTAATTTGATAAATTTTCTACAAATTTTTATTAAAATACCGCAGCTTATATTTTGTTTAGCCTAAATATTTAATTTAAAAAAAAAACGAATAGGAAAATATCCAATAAAATTCTCTTCAAGGACTTTTTTTAAAAAAGATAGCAGTAGTGTAGTAAGGTAAGCGGAGAAAAAATTTATGAAATTTTTTCCTCTCTTTTTTTCTGATTTTATTACTCACAGAATATTATAATTAATAGATATTTTAAAATTGCAAGTAGTAAAGGAAAGGTGAAATTTAGTAAATAGAATATTTAAATTTTAATTTTAAATTAACCTGCACTGATCAACGCTGTCAAGATCAACGTATGTTGGATATAATTCACCTGCGCTTAATCCATAAATTGCAATTTTCACATTATAATTATAGGTAAGCAAACAAACATCAATTGATAGACGATAATGTACAAAACCATATTTTTCAAGATTTCGAAGACCATCCGCTATTTGCATAGCAAATTTACATTGCTAAAAAAAAAATAAACATAAAATTTCATAGACCACCCGTTATTTACATAACAAATGTATACTGCTAAAGAATATAAAAATTCAAATAAAATCAAATGAAAAAGAAGAAAGAATTCAATCAATAATTAGGAAAAATTGTTAACAATTTATACATCTATTCTAAAATTTTCCTAACTGAGAATTATTGATTAAACTGCAATTTACATGCTAAGTTTAAAGTTTTAGAAAAAAGCCATATAGCAAATTTTAATAACGTAATTCAAATTATATTGTATTGGAAATGGACTACTGAAAGATATATTATTGATAATATTATTTAGTATAAATAAACAAAAATTTCTGACACAAATATTTTTGTTTATCATGTTAAATAATATTATCAATAACTGCTAATATTCTTTTTCATTATAAAACGATGGATGAAATTTTAATTTAATTTATAAAATTGTTGAATTTTTTTTCCTGAAATACTGCTATTCATAATAAACTGAATTGATTTTTTAGTACATAATTTTAATTAATTTGTTGGCTATTCCTAGCAATGAATATTTCGCAGGAAATGATTGTCAGCGATGCAATTATCATAATTTAATTTAATTCATAATTCCTTTACAGATAACAATGCTTGACGACTCTAAACAAACTTCTTCTGATGCCACAAAATATTGCTTATTTCTTTTTTCTCATTTATTAATTTCGAACAATTGAATTTTCATAATAACTTTTTTGGTTCTTTTTTTTTTGGCATGGAAAATAACTTTTGTATTTACAACCTGATCTTTTGGCCTAAGACTTGTTCGAACAAAATCAGCAACTGAACCGTAAACAATATCCTCAAGAACTAACGATACATTTTCCGGTCCATACTGACATATGCCCCATAATCGCCAGATTCTTCTAAACATACAATAATTTGCAGTAAACAAACTCGAAAATTGCAACCTTTTGTAACATAATTTTTTGAAATTCAGTTTTTTTAATCCGATTTTTTTCTGATGCAACTAATTATTAACATAAAATTTCAATCTGTATATTACAGGAAAATTTTTGGAAAAATTGAATCACAATGAGATTAGCATATAATTTTCAGGTTAATATGCAAATTTATTTGTATATAAAAATAAAATTGATGATGAAAATATTGTTGAAGTGAAGTTCTTTAACTTTTGATAACACACATTGATCCAAATCGTCGTCGTTTTTCCGCTTCAGCAATCAAACATTTCAATTCATCAATGCTACAATCGGTTATGTTCAATTCGATCACCGGAATCCAACGTTTATTATCAAAGTTTAATGTCTTCTGTGAAAGGGTACCCAATGGGAAAATTTCATCATTAATTGGGAATCCGTGATAGGGAATAATGGCCATCTTTTTGGTTAACTGTAATAAAGATAAATATGCAAATAAAAAGAAATTTCTTCATATTCTTAACTTCTGATGATCATGATATTTTAATTTCATTCAAATTTAATACAAAATAAATTTTTGAAT